CAGACAGAACTGGACTGTGTTTGTTGGTTTCCAGACAGAACTGGACTGTGTTTGTTGGTAACCATACAAAACTGGACTATGTTTGTTGGTTACCCGACAAAACTGGACTGAGGGTGTCGGTTACCAGACAGAACTGGACAATATTTGTTGGTTACCAGACAGAACTGGACTGTGTTTGTTGGTTACCAGACAGATTTTGACTGTGTTTGTTGGTTACCAGACAGATCTGGACTGTGCTTTTTGGTTACCAGACAGAACTGGACAATATTTGTTGGTTACCAGACAGAACTTGACTGTTTGTCGGTTACCGGACATAACTGGACTGTGTTTGTCAGTTACCAGACAGACCTGGACTATGTGTGTTGGTTACCAGACAGAACTGGACTGTGGGTGTCCGTTACCAGACAGAACTTGACTGTGTTTGTCAGGTACCAGACAGACCTGGACTATGTGTGTTGGTTACCAGACAGAACTGGACTGTGCTTTTTGGTTACCAGACAGAACTGGACAATATCTGTTGGTTACCAGACAGAACTTGACTGTTTGTCGGTTACCGGACATAACTGGACTGTGTTTGTCAGTTACCAGACAGAACTGGACTATGTGTGTTGGTTACCAGACAGAACTGGACTGTGTGTGTCCGTTACCAGACAGAACTGGACTGTGCGTGTCCGTTGCCAGACAGACCTGGACTAAGTTTGTTGGTTACCAGACAAAACTGGATATGCATGACGGCCCAAAGACAGAACTGGACTGTGTTTGTCGGTAACCAGACAGAACTGGAGTGACAGGGTTTGTCAGATAACTGACAGAACTGGGCTGTGTTTGTCGGTTACCAGACAAAACTGGACTGTGTTTGTTGGTTACCAGACAGAACTGGACTGTTTGCCAGTTACAAGACAGAACAGAACTTTGTTTGTCGGTTACCAGACGAAACTGGACTATGTTTGTCGGTTACAAAACAGAACTGGACTGTTTGTCGGTTGTCGGACATAACTGGACTGTGTTTGTCAGTTACCAGACAGACCTGGACTGTGTTTGTCAGTTACCAGATAAAACTGGACTGTGTTTGTTGGTTACCAGACAGAACTGGACTGTTTGCCAGTTACAAGACAGAACAGAACTTTGTTTGTCGGTTACCAGACAGAACTGGACTATGTTTGTCGGTTACAAAACAGAACTGGACTATGTTTGATGGTTACCAGACAGAACTGGACTATGTTTGAAGGTTACCAGACAGAACTGGACTATGTTTGTCGGTTACCACAGAACTGGACTGCGTTTGTCAGTTACCAGACAGACCTGGACTATGTGTTGGTTACCAGACAGAACTGGACTGTGGATGCCAGTTACCAGACAGAACTGGACCTGTGGGTGTCGGTTACCAGACAGAACTGGACTATGTTTGTTGGTTACCAGACAGAACTGGACTGTGGATGTCAGTTTGTCCAAGCATATGTATTTTTTGTCTATTTCTGGTAATTTCTGGTAGATGTGAAAATCAATAAATCAAATTGACCTTGGAAGTGTTTTCAAGAATCCATAACTATTCCTATGTGTATTGGAATTTATTTTCCGACATGATTATTCCTTTTTTTTGGTTGGGTGGTTGTATAAGGTTTAATATCCTATTAACAACTGCATTTAAGGACGTGCCTCCATGTGTGTTGTGTATGTTAACTGGAGACACCACACCTTGTGAAACTTTTATGGGAACATATAATGGAGATGAAATAAACAACAGGTTTCAAAGGGACAGACTTGGATTTGATCCCTGGATTGCCAATCATTACACTGTTGGCCTAACCGACTGATAAGGATGTGCAGGGCTTTATTCAGGCTCTATTTTACTATCAGTATATTGGGAAAATTCCCCTCAGAAATCATGCTTAAATTTCCCCCTTTTTCAATCACATTAAAAAATGGATCATTGAAGTCCACTGTTTCTTCTGGTCCCTGTCAGAATGCCTCGCTGCATAGCATACATCAGTTTTCAGAATCATTAGAATATTGGTATTTGAAGGGGAATTTTCTTTTGGGCCCTCAGCCCTCAGTAAGGTGACCAGCAGCGTGGGTATATTCCCTTTCAATGGAAAAAGGGTAGTAGAAATCTTTTCCTGGACAATGCCCTGGTCTACCTGAGCCGTTTTTCTTTTAAACGGTTGAACCGGTCGGACCACAGTTGTTTCTTTATTAAATAAGATCGGACCTAGTCATCTGAAGTTGCTTTCAGGCAAGCCTTGACAAAGCCTTGCAAAGCCTGCATAAACATTTGCAGGTCCACAGGATTTATACCCGAAATTGTTACATTTAAAAACAGACAAACCTTTTGTTCCGCATAAACGAACAGGCCCCTGGTCAAAGGTAATAGCCTGGCCCACGAAATTTAAATTACTGTATTATGAAAAACTACATTGGAACTCGTTGTGTTTTGGTTTCTGCAGCAGTATAGGGATACTAAAACAATATAAATTTACATAACCGATTTCAGGATGTCTCTCACATTTGCAGTCTTCCCACCTCGTCTTTCGTTTTGTGAGTTGAACTGAATTAAACATTTAACAAGGTGAATGGACATTTAAAGACCACAAAAACAATGCAGCAAATTATTCATTTTTAATTTATTACAATCATTAGTTCATTCAAACATTTCCTTGCACACATCAACACAAAGAACTCGCATTCCATTTCACTCCTGCATCAGCTCTGCCATTCTATACCGCTACGCTCACACAAGCTCTGATAGGGTGACAATCGTAAAATCTGAACCAAATGTACATATTTATAGGTAGAAAATATCATGGTACTATTTACAAATGTCTAGAAAAGATTTCAGGGTGCTGTCCACATGATTTATTACAAAATAAAAAGTTTTAAAGTTTCCTACGATGCTTGCATCTCTTTATAAACATGTATTATACATAATGTCACACACGGGAGGTTCTGGTTAACACCTCCGACTGTCAGCCTCCGTAACTCCCTCTGTCACGACTTTCCTGGGATCTCTATATCCTGTATTACCCACTACATAACGTTTAGAATTGGAATGACGGAATCTTACCGTTAAAATGATACAGATTGTCTCTTGACCAACAGTTCACTGCTTGTGAGATTGACAGATATTACTACTGTATTACTCTGGCTATTTTGTGCGGTCTGGGGGGAGTTTCTATCTGGGCCAGTCATCCCAGGCTCCAATTGTAACCAAGGGTTATTTACTACATGGACATATCTTTGGACCACAAGCCTTTCTTTAGCACTAACAACCATATCCTTTCTAACTCCACTACAACGCTATCCTGGTAAGGCTTTCTGGCTCCACACTTTACTGTAGGTTGTCTGAGTGTCCTGTCATCATATCGTCCTAATAAGATTGCCAGTCTTGTCCAATTATCTTGATCAGTGACAGAATCTTTCGACATTTTCCCCCTCGCTGACAAGTCCTCTGAGGTGTGATCGTCCTAACGAGATTGCAAGTCTTGTCCCATCATCTTGATCAGTGACAGAATCTTTCGACATTTTCCCCCTCACTGACAAGTCCTCTGAGGTGTGTAAGGCTGATTGGATGAAATACTTGTATCGATTTAAAAATGCTCATCATGACATTTTTGACCGTTTGCGAGCAATGGCATCCTCTACAGCCTTGAGTTGTTTGAGGAGCTCCTCTCGTCGTGATGAAGTACTCTTCTTCTCCTTCTGGCTGAGAGCCGAGGCTGCGGCAGCCGCTGCTGCCAGACTGGGTTTTGCTGGGGCCTTGGTCGGTGAGATAGGGGGACGTACCGGAGCTTTTACAGGGGCTGCAGCCACAGGCTTGGCCTTCACCACAGGAGCGGGACGTACCACCTTATCTGGTTTCTTGATGACTTTTTCTGCAAATGGATAAAACATCATTATCAACACCTGGTAACTAGAGCAACACACATGGTATAATTGATTATTAGAAGAATGAGTTGATCATGTAGTGACAAACAGTGATGGCTAGAGCAGAAGGCAGTAGCAATACTGTAGCATTACATTTAAAGATCATCTTTTTACTTTAATGGGTTATTCACGGAACAATCGGTGCTATACTGTGTAATCCACATTTTCATCTGGGTGTGAGAAATTCCACATTGATTTTATTTCTGCTTAAACGATGTGAGGATTTGTACTTCTCTCAACTGATCAAGAGTCCATCCAGTCCTGGTGACAAAATTCATGATAGAAAACATTAAATTCAGCTTTTACTGCTGTCCAATGCATTCAAATGATCAACAATTTACAAATATTTCAAATCTCATTTCCAACGTATTTCCGAGTTCTAAACAGACACTAGTACATGTGCTATACATGATGTGTTGCCACTAACCTGGAGCCTTGAGAGGTGTGACTGGTCCATGAGCCGCTCTCTTGGAGGGGGGAGCCCCTGGAGGTTGATCAGCGGGACGTTTCTTGGCTGTCTGTCCCTTGTCTGCAGGAGCCTGTAGTACAGAGGATGAGAGTGACGCTACTGATATAGATACAGAGGATGAGAGTGACGCTACTGATATAGATACAGAGGATGAGAGTAACGCTACTGATATAGATACGGAAGATGAGAGTGATGCTACTGATAAAGATACAGAGGATGAGAGTGACGCTACTGATATAGATACAGAGGATGAGAGTGACGCTACTGATATAGATACAGAGGATCGGAGTGACGCTACTGATATAGATACAGAGGATGGGAGGGATGCTACTGATATAGATACAGAGGATGAGAGTGATGCTACTGATATAGATACAGAGGATGAGAGTGACGCTACTGATATAGATACAGAGGATGAGAGTGAGGCTACTGATATAGATACAGAGGATCAGAGTGACGCTACTGATATAGATACAGAGGATGGGAGTGACGCTACTGATATAGATACAGAGGATGAGAGTGACGCTACTGATATAGATACAGAGGATGAGAGTGACGCTACTGATATAGATACAGAGGATGAGAGTGACGCTACTGATATAGATACAGAGGATGAGAGTGACGCTACTGATATAGATACAGAGGATGAGAGTGACGCTACTGATATAGATACAGAGGATGAGAGTGACGCTACTGATATAGATACAGAGGATGAGAGTGACGCTACTGATATAGATACAGAGGATGAGAGTGACGCTACTGATATAGATACAGAGGATGAGAGTGACGCTACTGATATAGATACAGAGGATGAGAGTGACGCTACTGATATAGATACAGAGGATGAGAGTGACGCTACTGATATAGATACAGAGGATGAGAGTGACGCTACTGATATAGATACAGAGGATGAGAGTGACGCTACTGATATAGATACAGAGGATGAGAGTGACGCTACTGATATAGATACAGAGGATGAGAGTGACGCTACTGATATAGATACAGAGGATGAGAGTGACGCTACTGATATAGATACAGAGGATGAGAGTGACGCTACTGATATAGATACAGAGGATGAGAGTGACGCTACTGATATAGATACAGAGGATGAGAGTGACGCTACTGATATAGATACAGAGGATGAGAGTGACGCTACTGATATAGATACAGAGGATGAGAGTGACGCTACTGATATAGATACAGAGGATGAGAGTGACGCTACTGATATAGATACAGAGGATGAGAGTGACGCTACTGATATAGATACAGAGGATGAGAGTGACGCTACTGATACAGATACAGAGGATGAGAGTGACGCTACTGATATAGATACAGAGGATGAGAGTGACGCTACTGATATAGATACAGAGGATGAGAGTGACGCTACTGATATAGATACAGAGGATGAGAGTGACGCTACTGATATAGATACAGAGGATGAGAGTGACGCTACTGATATAGATACAGAGGATGAGAGTGACGCTACTGATATAGATACAGAGGATGAGAGTGACGCTACTGATATAGATACAGAGGATGAGAGTGACGCTACTGATATAGATACAGAGGATGAGAGTGACGCTACTGATATAGATACAGAGGATGAGAGTGACGCTACTGATATAGATACAGAGGATGAGAGTGACGCTACTGATATAGATACAGAGGATGAGAGTGACGCTACTGATATAGATACAGAGGATGAGAGTGACGCTACTGATATAGATACAGAGGATGAGAGTGACGCTACTGATATAGATACAGAGGATGAGAGTGACGCTACTGATATAGATACAGAGGATGAGAGTGACGCTACTGATATAGATACAGAGGATGAGAGTGACGCTACTGATATAGATACAGAGGATGAGAGTGACGCTACTGATATAGATACAGAGGATGAGAGTGACGCTACTGATATAGATACAGAGGATGAGAGTGACGCTACTGATATAGATACAGAGGATGAGAGTGACGCTACTGATATAGATACAGAGGATGAGAGTGACGCTACTGATATAGATACAGAGGATGAGAGTGACGCTACTGATATAGATACAGAGGATGAGAGTGACGCTACTGATATAGATACAGAGGATGAGAGTGACGCTACTGATATAGATACAGAGGATGAGAGTGACGCTACTGATATAGATACAGAGGATGGGAGTGACGCTACTGATATAGATACAGAGGATGAGAGTGACGCTACTGATATAGATACAGCGGATGAGTGACACTACTGATATAGATACAGAGGATGAGAGTGATGCTACTGATAAAGATACAGAGGATGAGAGTGACGCTACTGATACAGATACAGAGGATGAGAGAGACGCTACTGATATAGATACAGAGGATGAGAAAGACGCTACTGATATAGATACAGAGGATGAGAGAGACGCTACTGATATAGATACAGAGGATGAGAGAGACGCTACTGATACAGATACAGAGGATGAGAGTATAGAGGAAGAAGACAAGTATAGATTTTACCATACACAGTTACTCCTGCTCAATACAACCAGTAAGCAGTCAAAATCATTCCACGTCCATTTCATGTTATAAAGTTTATCGGACAAATGAAAATAATTTACAAAATTCATGACACTATTAAGTTCATTTATCAGAACAATGTTGAAACGTTTATCATTGCATTACTTAACCATGGTTAGAAGGGCCTTGTCTTTATACATGTATCACATACTATCTTCCTATGACCTGACCTTGTTACAAACAAGCTTGTCAATTTTTAATTGTCGCTGGTTTTCTGTGAACCAACCTTGGTACGGGCTTGTCTCTATATTATACAAACTAGCTAAATGCCAGCTAGTTTTCTGTGACCTGAACTTGTTAAGAAAGAGCTAGTCAATAATAAATGCCAGCTAGTTTTCTTTAACCTGACCTTGTTAAGAACAGTTTTCTTTGACCTGACCTTGTTAACCCTTAGGCTGCTACATTTATTTCTATGTAAAGGGATGCCACTGCTAAATTAATTATTGAAATATAAATTAATTTACTTAATTTTTCAAATGCGCATAACTTGAAAAATATTTGTTATATGTGAATAAAAGTTATTATCATCATAGGTGACGCTGGATAATAAATGTTTACCATCATATTCATCACTTCAATCTACACGTCCGCCATTTTTATGACTTTTTTTCTGATTTGAAATTCTCTCGCACACTTTGATTATTACTAGGGTACATTGCCGGGAATATCGAAAGTAATGACAAAACAACCAATCAGAAGCCTTCTACTATACACTTTCGGGTTTGGTATAGCAACAGTCCGCTTTCACACTTCGTGTTTACTGATCAAAAACCTACAGACCGCGCACCACTATAGTGGTGCGTAGCACTGACGGCCCGACTTTTCGAAACGACTATTGTGGTGCGTAGCAGCCTAAGGGTTAAGAACAGTTTTTTGTGACCTGGCCTTGTTAAGAACAGTTTTTTGTGACCTGCCCTAGTTTTCTGTGACCTTATTAAGAACTGTTTTCTGTGACCTTATTAAGAACAGTTTTCTGTGACCTGACCTGGTTGAGAACAGTTTTCTGTGACCTGACCTAGTAAAGTACAGTTTTCTGTGACCTGACCTAGTTTTCTGTGACCTGACCTTGTTCAGAAGTGTTAATTTGATGTTGGGCTTCTGTCCCGTCAGTTTCAGCGGATCCTTAGGTTTGTTTGGAGCAGACACAGCCTGTCTATTGGAGGTATCCATCTTGTTGTCCGGGCGACCAGCACCTTTACCTGCTCTTGGATCCCCCTTCATTACACCAGGAGGTGCGCCCTTGTCTCGCTGTGGAGGAAGCGGCCCTCTTTTCTTTGGTTTAGGAGCTTAAATGAGGACATTTGAATAAGTCTTGGTGGAAATCTTTGGTTTAGGAGCTTTAATGAAGACATTTGAATAAGTCTTGGTGGAAATCTTTGGTTTAGGAGCTTCAATGAAGACAATTGAATAAGTCTTGGTGGAAATCTTTGGTTTAGGAGCTTCAATGAAGACAATTGAATAAGTCTTGGTGGAAATCTTTGGTTTAGGAGCTTCAATGAAGACAATTGAATAAGTCTTGGTGGAAATCTTTGGTTTAGGAGCTTCAATGAAGACAATTGAATAAGTCTTGGTGGAAATCTTTGGTTTAGGAGCTTCAATGAAGACAATTGAATAAGTCTTGGTGGAAATCTTTGGTTTAGGAGCTTCAATGAAGACAATTGAATAAGTCTTGGTGGAAATCTTTGGTTTAGGAGCTTCAATGAAGACAATTGAATAAGTCTTGGTGGAAATCTTTGGTTTAGGAGCTTCAATGAAGACAATTGAATAAGTCTTGGTGGAAATCTTTGGTTTAGGAGCTTCAATGAAGACAATTGAATAAGTCTTGGTGGAAATCTTTGGTTTAGGAGCTTCAATGAAGACAATTGAATAAGTCTTGGTGGAAATCTTTGGTTTAGGAGCTTCAATGAAGACAATTGAATAAGTCTTGGTGGAAATCTTTGGTTTAGGAGCTTCAATGAAGACAATTGAATAAGTCTTGGTGGAAATCTTTGGTTTAGGAGCTTCAATGAAGACATTTGAAGAAGTCTTGGTGGAAATCTTTGGTTTAGGAGCTTAAATGAAGACATTTGAATAAGTCTTGAAGGAAATCTTTGGTTTAGGAGCTTAAATGAAGACATTTGAATAAGTCTTGGTGGAAATCTTTGGTTTAGGCGCTAAAATGAAGACATTTTGAACTATTGTCAGCTAGGGCATATTCGTTTATGCGGAACAACCAGTTTGAGCATAAGTACATCTATAGTGTATGTATAAATAAAACTTTAAAATTAATAAAGTTCTCCAGAAGGTATTTCTTTCTAACATGTTTTTGAAATTTCAAAAAGTTTTGTTGAAAAATGGGAATGGGGAAATTTAATACAAATATATACCTCCCTACTCCCGTAATGGTCAAGTGTACATGTGACCTTTGACCTTAAACCTTGACCAAAGACAACAAAAAGTTAGGTGTAGAACTCCATGTTACCATACTATGGCATAAATATAAATGATATTGTTAGATTTCAGAAGTGGTCAAGTGTGACCACTGACCATTAACCTTCACTGAAGACCATCAAAATCTCTTAAGGTTTAGACTTATCATACCATAGTATGGTATTAAGGAAGTTCATCAAATCTGTTAAGGGGTTCATCTTGTTTGTTACGTACAGGAGGCACTGAAAAATGGAAAATTTAATACCCATCCCCCTTATCTTAGTAGGGTAAAATAACAAGTTTTCTCATCAGCACAATAGATCTCCAGCACACACGCAGGCATACACACATAGGGAGATATTAGCCAGGTGGCATAGGACTAGTAGTTAGCGCCTGAAAAGGCAGCTCCTGCGAATTCCTCAATTTTTTTTATTGATTAATGTATATATGCTAATTGAATGTACTGTAAAGCGCTTTAGAGTGGCTTAACCAGCAAGATGGGGAGCTATATCAAATGTTATATATTATTTTTAATTATGACATAAGCACACATTTGACAGGTGAGTTAAAGTAGGGCTTCCTGTAGAGTACTTACCTGGTGGCTTCCTTTGTTTTACTGGGGAGGGACTCTCACCCACACCACGATACAGGTGCTCGGAGTCGGCACTGCCACTCGAGCTGCTTGAGGTGTGGCTGCTGAACGAAGACCTGCTGCTGTTGCTCGATGACCGTGAAGAGGAGGATGATCGGCTTCGGGATCGTGACAAACTGCTGCCACTGGAACTGGCACTACCACGGCGTTGAGGTGGTTGTCTAAAAATAGAAACGTCTCAAGCTTGCATTGTGATTTTGATATCCCTTTAAAACCTTTTGTAAAAACTTATATTAGAATCTTCTATAAATAATTTTCCAGAGGTAAATTTTGCAGTGAGAAGGTCTTAACAAGGTACAAGCAAATTGCTAAATAATGACATGACATCGTATGGTTCTGAAGAAGTTCAAGAAAGTAAAAAGTTGACAACGGAAGGATTGATCCTTTACTTACACATCTGACAACACTTGAAACAATAAACAATTACAGAATAAAACACTCTTTCACGTGATTATGAAGAAGATTAACAAGAATCTTCCACCACCTTGAGGGTGTGACAGACAATTCTCCCACACCTGACAGATTTATCTCCCGTTTTGCCGGTGCTAGATTTAACTGTCTCTGCCCTAGGGTTGAGACGGGGGGGATTCCCCTATTTATAACAATGGTATGACGTTATTGCAACAATACAATGACGTCACGTCAACAATCCATCAACGTCACGTCAACCCTGAATTTAGCATGTAACGTTATCATTACATTGTGTATATGATACACATTGGGGAAAACAGGGTACATGTAAGAGAAAAAGAATCATTCACCCCCTTGTGGGTAAGATAGGGGAATCTCAACCCGAGGGGGAAGATTCTTATGTTGCCAAACACGAGGCTTTGCCGAGTGTTTGGCAACTTAAGAATCTTTTCCCAAAGGGGGGTGAATGATTCTATTAATCTCCAACCCAAGGGATAATCAAAATAAATCACCCCGAGAGTTGTAGATTTCTCAAGGTAGGGGATGATTATTTTTCTCCCATCCTTTTATTTCAGTCACAACTCCACCGACGGTAGGCTGCCATGTTTGTAAACAAAAACACATGTGGGGTATGTATATCGTCATTCCCTTTTGATGACGTCACATGGTGACACATTTTCATGGCGTCACAATTGAACATGTGCTAATCAGCACAAGGCTATCTCCCCCTGGGGGGTGACGAGGCTATCTCCCCCTAGGGGGTGACGAGGCTATCTCCACCTGGGGGGTGACAAGCTGATCTTACCTGGCAAAAACGAGAGACACCTGTGAAGGGTGGGAGTAAATGTCTACACACTGACAGGTGAAAATACAAATTCTCACAACAACAGTTTACCTATTAAAATGTGGTATAAATTGGTTGTATATTACAAAGATATTGTTGTCATCGTGATATTGCTTCACCTATGACAGGGATATCATAAACCCAAAGTGACAGTTTTTACATGGGCTACATGGTCATAGCTATCTTACATACAGGTAAGAGAGAAAAGGTGTTCTGTTATAAATAATTGTATGTAAACAAATTGTAGTATCAATATTTATTTATTTTTTTCAAGCATTTTCAAAGATATGTTACATAGCCTATGAACACACACACAACACTCATTCACGCATGCACACCATTCATCATCACGAATATCATCATCATTATTACATCATCATCATCATCATCATCATCATCATCAATTATTCTTCAAATTTATCTTGCTACATTCATCATCATCATCATCATCATCATCATCATCATTTTTCACCCTTTTTTGCCCTCTGTAATGAAGGCTAATATATAACATGTGAAGGCCAGGACGAAACTAACACTGTGCAAAAACAGATTCTATCAGTGAAGGGCGGAAAATGTGACTGGACTAAAGTTTCCCGGTTTACAGTAAACATACCATATTGGAACACTTGTTTTAGATGTGAATGAAAATGTGAAGAATTTTAAGCTACAAACATAATTTAGCAACATACCAATATGATAATATTATTCAGTTAGATATTGGCAACATGTAAATCAACTCTCCAACTTTGACCTTTAATTTATGAAATGAATTTGGCAAAATAAAGTATACCTTTAGTTTTCTCCGGCCACTTGGTTATAAATGTTATGCTGCAGACAACTTTTTATTTTTTTTATTTTTCAAAAACAAATGTAGCCGATTCTTTTTTCGGTTGCTCTAATTTATTTTAGATTTTGTTTTGTTGACATCAGTTGTGTTATCCCACCCTAGCAGAGACGTAGACATTTCTACATCCATCTCCCAAGTTGATTTCTTAATTCAAATGTGGCGTATTTTTTGTGGGCATAAAACAACACACACAGTGCTGCTAAAGAAATGCAAGTTTAATTTCATCTATTCATTAGAATGCTTTTTGTTGGTAAGGAATTGCAGTTGTCTTAAGATTTTTGACAATAGGACCATTGCTACTGAGTATTGATAATATCAACCAAGTGAAACCTGCTTCAGCCAATCACTTACTTTTGCATAGGGCGTCGAGGGCCCCCTCGCTGGGCGGGGGGTGGTCCCCGGTGCGGGGGCCTGCCAGGATGTGTGTTAGGAGGCATGTGTCTTGGAGGGGCACCTGCAGGGCCAGCTCGTGGCTTGGGAGGCCCCCCTGGACCTGGAGCAGATCCAGGTCCTGGGTATGCTCCATGTCTTCGTTTGTCTGGACTTCCTCTTGGCTTTCCTTTAACAGCTACTGCACTGCGAGGCTGGTCACTGTGGAGAAAGTTAACATCGATTATACAGGGTTCAAACCAGCTTTTAAAGATTCTTGCGCCAAAACTTTCGCCAAACTTCAGCAAACTTTATATTTATGGGCCAAATAATTTACAAGGTGCTACTTTGTTGTGGCAAGACAAACAAGAGGCTCAATGGGCCTGCATCGCTCACATGGTATAAATCTCACACTTGTAACCTTAAAAGTGATCTAAAATAAAGACCATGTTATTTTTTTTTTTAAACATTTCACCCCTGTGATTGAAAGTCGAACAAAGCCATTGTGTTGAACAAAATTTATAGCCTTTCATCTCAGGATGCAACTTGCAAAGTATCAACATCCTGGGACCCATGGTTATTCAGAAGAGGTCGTTTAAAGATTTGACCCCTGTGACCTTAAATA